GGGCCGCGCCGCCGGAGCCCGGGGTGGGCGGGGCTACCCCGGCGGGGCCTCGCTGCCCAGCGCGCGGGGGAGGGTGGGACCGTCCACGGGCCGGGCCTCACCTCGCGGCCTTCGTTGTCGATGCCCGCCAGGAAGATGGCGGAGCCCACGAAGAGGCAGATGCAGAGGTGCAGGTGCAGGGTGGTGCGCGAGCCCTGGATGGGCCGCACCAGCAGGAAGGTGAGAATGCACAGCAGCAGGCAGACCAGCGACAGCGACAGCCCCACCTGGGTGATCAGGGCCAGCGGCCGGTCCTAGATGCAGGGCGGGCGGGCTCCGTCAGCGCGCTGAGGCCTTCCTTCCTGCCCTCCTTGTGGGCCCCACCGCCCAGACTCACCGGGAACCTGGCCGCCCCACCTCCTCTGCCTGCAACCTGTGAGCAAGCCTGCTGAGTCTCATTCTGACTCACCCCCGGGGGGCGCAGCAGGGATCCCGGTGCTCTCATGGCTCCCTGGCCGCCGCCTGACCCGCCTCCCCACGACACACCCAGACTGCCCTCCCCAGAACGTCCCCAGTGAAGCCTCCAGGGCCACATCCCTCTTCTCCAACACTACCCTCTGACTTGGTCTCCCGCCCCTCCCACACCTATCAGCTCACCAAATCCCACACTTGGGTACTTCCTAGGCCTTTGGCGGGGACCACCAGCCTCCCCCCTCTGCCTGGCCAGGTCCAGGTAGCCACATGGCCTGGCGCATCTACGGCTCCCCCGAGGCCACACACAGAAAGCTGTGCTCCCCCGGGAGCATTTGGCGATACTGCGCTGGCAGTGCCAGCCTCACTCTTCAGGTGCTGGTCATGGCAGGGTGTGGGGGTCCCGGGGGAGGGGCTGCGCTGTGAGGCATGGGCCACCTGCCTGGTACAACCACCCAGAACCAGTCGGGCCGCACACCTGTGTCGCCTCCGCAGCCCTGCCCCCGTGGCCCTTCAGGGGGGCCCGGGCCCTCACCTGCACGTCGTAGTGGGCCATGAGGATGGCAAAGCTGCTCAGGTGGCTGCACTGGCAGGTGGTGCTGTTGTTCCCGCTGCCCAGCGTCCGGCAGCCCGTGGTGGCCCAGTGCCCGCTCCTGTTGGCAGCACGCTTCCAGAAGGCACAGATCAGCTCCTCCTGTGGCCCGGGCGTCTCCTGCTGTGGGCAGGTGGGGGTGGTCGCACAGGTTAGCCTGGAGCCCACCCTTGGGTCCTGGGCTCGGGCTGAGCCTGAGGAGAGCTGCTCTTCATTAGCCAATTACCTACTCAGCACCTACTGTGCGTGCCGGGCCGGGGGACACAGCAGTGACCAGTCCCTGCCCTTGTGGGGCTGACATGCTCGCGGGGGAGACAGAGGGTAAATGATAGACTTAATAAATCAGCAAACTAGATAGTGCGTTAGAAGGTGTTAAGCGCTATTAAAAAAAAAAATAGAGAAACAGCGCAGGGGAAAGGAGAGGCATGGTTACAGGTTGTGATCTTAAATAAGGAGCTCCGGGGAGGCCTAAAAGAGAAGGTGACATTTGAATAGATTGGAAACTGGTAAAGGACTGAGTCACGTGAGGGAAAGGTGTCCCAGGCAGAGGGCATAGCAAGTGCAAAGGCCCTGAGGTTTGAGTAAGGAGCACAGTGGGCAGAGGTGGCTGCAGAGGGACCACCGTGGCGTTGGCTACGGGATGAGCAGTGGGGCTGATCCCCTCCCCACCCAAGGACTCACAGGGTGGGAGAAGGCAAAGGTGACGGGGGTGTCGAGTGCCGTCGTGTTGGTGTTGCTCAGAAAGGCTGAGTTCACGGCCGAGAGGAGCCTGAGCTGGGCGCCCTTGACCGGACGTTCATAGGTCTCTTCCAGCTCAGCTTTCTTCTCGGGGTCCAGCTCCAGGGAGGCATCGGCCAGCAGTTTCTGCATGTTCGGGTTGGAGAGGAGGCCCGCCATGGTGGGGCCTGGGGGGACAGACACACTGGCTGCCGTCTGCCCTCCGTCCTCCCTGAGAGGTCTAATGCAGGCTCGCCTGTCCACTCTGATGCCTGGAGGCCCTCGCAAGGGATCGGTTTCCAGGTGTCACATACTCTGAACCCCACCCCTAGACACGTCCCAGCCCCGCTCCCTCTCCCAGGGGCGCCCCCTCTGCACCCCTGCCTTTACCCGACTCCTCAGGTCCAGCGGTCACGGCCCAGTTCAGCAGCATCCTTGCGTGGCTCTGGCCTATGGTGACGTTTCCATTCCCCTGGTCCCCGATGACCAGGGACAGCTCTGAGGGGAGATGGGCGGTGACTGGGGGCTCCCGGATGGGCCTGGGGCTGGGGTGGGGCAGGGCGAGGCCTCACCGGTGCCATCAGGGGAACAGTAGGTGAAGGAGCCCGCAGGCATGGCCTTGGCCAGGGTCCTCAGGACGTCTTCAAGGCCCGAGAGCAGGTGGGTGACCGTGTGGTGGCGGTCACACAGGGCCAGGGTCTCCAGGTCCCTGGGGGTGACCAGCTTGTCCACTGACTGGATGAGGTTCTGGGGGCAATGGGTGACAGTTGCTGGGTCATGGCAGCACAGAGGCTGCCTGACCCTGATGTCACCCCCTGCAGGGAACACAGGAGAACCCCCCAGCTGCTGAGGAGCACACGGGAATGTTCGAGACGCCACAGTAGCCGGAGGACATGGGAGGCTGGAGCGTTCGCCTGTGGGCAGGGACTGCAACAATGGCGCTAACGTCTGCCGGGCTCTGCTCTGAGTCTGCACGTCCAGAACAGGCGCCGCAGGCCGCGTGGCCACCGGGCCCCTGGAGTGCAGCTGCTCCGCATCAAGCTGTGCTCGCAGCGTGCAATACACGCCGGATTTCAAACACGTAGGTGAGAAGAATGTGGACTATCTCAGTGATGGTTTTACGATGCTGTGTTGAAATGGTGTCACTTTGGATCTATTGGGTTAAAGGCCACTTTCACATTAATTTCACTTGTTTACTTTTACTTTTTTTAACATAGCTACTGGAAAATTTAAAGTGACGTAAGGGGCGCACGTACTTCTGCCGGCGAAGCGCGTGTACTGGAACTTAGGTCTAACGGGCACGGTGTGCTGGGCACTGATCTTTGAGCCTGGCTTCTGTTAGTTCACTTAAATCTCCACCCCGTCTGTATGGAGCAGGCGCCATTTATGAAGGGAGGACACTGAGGCCCAGAAAGGGGGCGTCACCTGCCTGAAGTCACGCAGCGGGAAGTGGCAGTGAGTGGGGTGTGGTGGGGGGGATCTGAACGCTTGTGGCCCGGCTCCAGACGCAAAATTCTTACGTGCTCCCTTCTGTCCCTCGTGTGTGTGCACGTGCATGCGCGTTTCGGGTGCGTGTTTACGGTGCGTGTTTACGTCTGTGTTGAGGAATGGCTGTAGGTACGGTGTGTGTATATTGTGCAGACGGACACGTGTTTCCCTGAGCAGAGGCCCCTGCTCGGGCTGTCTCCACTCACACTGCAGCATCCCCCACACCTCCCAGGGGACTGTCCTGGGGCCCCAGGTCCTGCCCTCACCTGGATGGTGTCCTGGGCTGAGGCTTGAAGAGACATGAAGTCTCTGCGCAGATCCTCGACTCTCGCAAAGAAGCGGGAGAGACGCTGAGGAGAGGGGAGATGAGAGGGTCAGGGAAGCTCGAGGGTGGGTGGGGAGTTTGGGGAAAAGGGGGGGGCAGAGTGGGCTGCACAGAGGGATTCCTGCCCCTGGTCCCTGCTGGGGCCACTCACCTGGCTCTCGATTCCAGAGGGTGGAGTCCAGGGGGGGAAGATCTCTGCAGGGGACAGAACAGCGGGTCACTAGGTGTGAGCGTGTCTGTGTGTGCTGGGGGTAGAGTCTGGGGTCGGGTCAGGACAGGTACCTTGGCAGACGGTGTTGTTGGTGCCATTGGGGGACCCAGGAACCGGTGTCCACCCAGGGCGGCAGTGGCACCCGTAGGAGCCCACGGTGTTGATGCAGACAGTGGAGTTGTGACACTGATGCCGCCTGGAGCTGCACTCGTCCTCATCTGGGGACATGAAGATGGGGTCAGGCCAGGTCACAGCCTGGATCAGGCCCCTCTCCTCTCCACGCCCCACCCCTTTCTCCGTGTTTGTGTCCCCTCGCCCCCTTGGCGGGAGGTGATGCCACCTGGTGAGGGCACACCCCTGAGTGGGGGACCTGAGGTTATGGGAGGTGCAGAGGTGACGCAGCAGCAGGTGAGCCGGGTCAGACGTACAGGTTGTGAAACAGTGAGACACCTTCACCCCACTCAGTGATTAATGCTGCCTGGGGGCCCCGGGAGCCTTCCCCTTGGTACCCCAGCTCCTTCCCCGGGACCCCCAGATCTGTTCACATCTAGTCTCCAAAGGCTTAACGCCTGGCACAGCAGGGCACCCCCCTGCTCAGTCTGCTAGGTTTGTGTGGGTGCCACTGATGTGATCAGATGCTCTGAGTGTGGGTCTCCAGGAGGGCAGCGTCTGAGCTCCGGACCTTCACAGACGGTGGTGTTGGGGCCATCAGGGGACCCAGGAACCGGCTTCCAGCCAGGGCGGCAGCGGCACTCGTAGCCACCCACGACGTTGAGGCAGTGGGTGGAATTGTGGCATGGACTGTGCCCCGAGGTACATTCATTCACGTCTGAGGACAAAGCTGGAGGGTCAGCTCTGCCCGCCTCTCGCTGCCCCCCTCTCGCTGTCCCCCTCTCGCTGCCCCCCCCTCGCTGCCCCCCCTCTCGCTGCCCTCCTCTCGCTGCCCCTCCTCTCACAGCCCCTCCTCTCACTGTCCTCCTCTCTCTCGCTGTCCCCCTCTCTCTCGCTGCCCCTCCTCTCGCTGCCCCCCTCTCGCTGCCCCACTTCTGCCCTCCTCTCGCTGCCCCTCCTCTCGCTGCCCCTCCTCTGCCCTCCTCTC